AAACTTTCCTCCTGATCTTATTCACTGCTGTTATTGCCACAGCCATCTCTTCTCACTTTCCATGTCCATTCCTCAGGCAGATTTCTCCTCTGAACCAGTCTTTCACACCCCTACCAGTCCCCAAAAAATGAGAACCACGCCTGCTTCTGCAGATGTGGGAGCAAGTGGATTTCTTACTGGCTTTTTGCTCTAGTAACTGCTGCTGCTTCACCGTCTGCTGCTCCTCTTTTGTGTCTCCAAGCAGCTGTAAGTAAAGCTTCTGCATTCAGTTCACATTCCAAGATTTCCTTAGCAAACACTAAGGCTAAAAAAGAAAATCTTTTAATGAGACCTGAGATTCTGCAGTCACTGCAGCAGTACTAGATGTATACCTTATTGACATGGGTTGGACATTTCCAGGAGTCTATCCAAACCATGGTCAGAGGGAACTGAGTGAGAGAGAAAACAGGCAATGAGACATTTTCTAGCAAAGCACATTTTTTCTTTTGTTAAGAAATGTTGATTTTCTGAGAAAGGCAAGTTTTCACAGGGTTGTAAGCAGCCAGGTCATTCCAGCAGTGTTCCAGCTGGGAATTCAAGTAACATAGGAGACTTGGACTGAATCCTTTCGTTACACAGCAGCCTGAGAGGTGTGGTACTCCAAGCCACTCTTTAGTCCATCAGTTTCCCACCTCAACCATCTATCACTGCAATACTACCAGGAATAGGCAGGAATGTAAGGTATGGGGGTTTATGAGGTGAGATTTAGCCATTTTATTACTTGCAGGCCAGAAATAGCTGAATGCCACTGGACAACAATAAGAACTTTTCTAATAGGTAAACATTAAAAGGTTAATCTTAAGACTACAAATCCTTAACGCCTGTGTTGATAACTTTAGGAATTTTAATAGAGGAATTGTATGAGAAAGTATGTTTAAAAACATTCATTACTGGTATGCATAGAAGTGCAATATGGTTTTTTCATTAATGTTTTTACTATCCCTGCCACTTAAAATATAATATATTTGACAAAATAGATGAAAACACTTTTATCAATAATCTACCGATTAATGTTCATGTTAATATATTAATGGGATAGACCATAGCAGCCCCAAAGGAAGCGTAATGATCAATTGTGGCAATAATCCACAAATTGAAGATCTCTAATATTATGCATTCACTTGATAGACTGCAAGGGTTTTGAATGAGTGTTGCATTTTATCATGCCAATGATCCATGGATTAAGGGCTTGCATTTATATAGCACATTGTAATGTCTTTGAGGAAGCTATTAGGGTCTATCATATCAATGACCCATGAATAATGAGAGTTATTGGAGAAGTATCTTTCAGTCTGTGATGCAGTGCTTCAAGGATATTTTAACATGGTTTAAGGTTTAGCAAGTATAATATAGTTTATGTCGCACTTCTTACACTTGTATTTACACAATGAATAAACACAGTATAGAGAGCAAAAGGAAGAAGTACTGCTTCAAGGGGAAAATAATGACTTATTTTCCTTCAGTGCCTGAGATCAGTTTCTGGCAGCAACAACTGCTTGCTCCATACTTGGTGCTAATTCTTATGGTGCTCATAATTTCACTATAATCAAAAGCATGTAGGATACTGGCAGTCTTTGCAGCATGACAGTAATCAAGGATGTCATCAAGTTGGAATCAACAGAATTATGAGGGGTTAGATAACCTACTAATAGTGATTCAAACAGGGACTGTTCAGTGTTATGTGAATCCCCTTCTATTTTAGTTTGAAATATTCTGATAGCTCTCGATGGTTACAGGATTATGCATAGCTGTAGCTTTCTGATGAAGTCTTCCCCAGAATGTCATGTCTGCACAAAGATTTAAAAGTCACAATTATCTTTAAGATAAATCTTGATAAAATACCAGCTCTTCTTATAGGTGTCTAAATCTTGGAAAATTTCAAAGTTTGTAATTTTGAGCATAGATGAAGGAATATGAGACAAAAATACTTAATACATTAGGAATATTCTCTGAAAATGTCTATACTAGTGCAGCACAGTTTATGAAGACACTCTTCTTAAGATTCTTCCACCCATACCAAGTTGGTTCTTCCTTGGCAGTTACCTCCTCTTTCTCAGAATCTCCTCAAAGACAAAGTGAACTCTTGGCCCTGAGAACATGTAAAGGGGGAGGAGGGAGACATACCCTGCCTATTCATGACTTGGCAACATCATCCTGCTGTCATATTTCTCAATGACTGCCTCTCCCAATGCCCATGGATGCCCTTGGGAAAGAAGGGACACCTTTTCTGCAGGATACAGGTTGGGGGAGGAGGAGAGGGGACAGGAGAAGGAGCTGTAAAAAGCATTTCCATCCCAGCTTTTTGCCACATCCAGCTCTTCTGGCAGGAGGAAGCAGAGAAAGCATTTCCTGCTGTGGCTGTTGCCTTTATGGGTTGCTGAAATCTGGTTGTAGTCATGTACAGACAACTGCAACCCACTGGATTGCAACACAGGAAGCCAGCCACTGCAGCTGCTGAATTTGGACTGGATTTGAAGGTAACTTCTTCAGGCAGTGTATAGGGAAATTTGAGTAGAGATCAAACAAAATGTAATGCGAGTGTTGACGAATTCAGCAGCGCCGCGTGTAGTGACTCCTACAGTCAGCAAGTCTTAGTTCAAACTTTGTTCAGAGCAGTGTAAATATTCCCGTTCCCATCAGAGGGTTTTTTTTTCCAGATGGAAAATTATAGTTACAACTCCAGAGGAGCTCAACCTCTCCTTTACAGTCAGCAGTGGGAAACAGGAGACAACTTCATCCAGTCTTTCTGGTGGACATTCCTTGTGCTCTCTGCCAATAGTTGCAAAATACAAAATTGTACCTCACTTTTCTCCTTCATCTTTGTAGCTTGATTTCTCATTCCTTCCAGGGCAGATGAACCAGATGTAGTGGTATCACTATATGTTCTAAAGCTAATGAGCTGCACATAAAACTGAGAATTTGGCCAAATAACAGAGCCTCATACAAGGATTAGCTTTCCCTCCACCTCACAACACACCTTTTCTTTCCTTCTTCTTCCTAATTAAACAGAAAGCCATCACAGCCAATGCCTTGACATGCTGCTAAAATAAGCCCTGGTTTAGTGCTATACAAAGGAATTAAAAAAGATATATAATCTCTCAGTGTTTAGAATGGCTTTTTACTACAATTTCAGGTATTCATTTCTCTTTTGCAAATTATTCCTGCTGTAATAGCAACCTTTGTCTTCAGTCCTTGTCTGCTTTACCAGATAGATCTTAAGTAAAGCCACAGCATGGAGTTTGTGCTACTACAGATTGTTCCTGTGGTTGGGACTGTGAAGTCATAAATACAGGATTGTGCATCCATCGCACTACCAAGCTGAGATGTGGGGTAATGAGGAGAACAATCCAATTCAGACACCAATATCTTCAGCAATAACTAGTGCAATGTAGAATATTACAAGGAGAGAAAATAATTTTTTTGTGCCGGTATTCTCTTTTCAAAGAAACCTAATTGATATCTATAACAACAGAACATAAGGAAACCTTGAAAAAGATACTGATTTTTGCTGCTGTCATCAGCACGAAGTTACATCCCAAATACACGGAAAAATGTGCATGAAGGACATTGAAATGTAATTTCAAATGTGGGAAAGACAAAGGAAGAAGGAGTTCAGAGAAACTTCAACCTGCATTGCCACCTGTCACCTGGCCTACTGGCTCAAGGGTAGAAGGCAGAACCAGTTACTGAGCTGGGCTCTTTAAAAAGCATGGGACGGAATATATTCTAGGTTCCAAGGTCAATAGATGGGAAACTTGAATTTCATGCCAGGTGTGCAGGCTTCCTTACGTCTTCTGAAATTACAAAGTGACTGGTTCACATGAGCATCTGAAATGAAAGTATAAATGGATGAAATTTAGAAGCAACCCACAGAGGACAATATGACAGTAGGTCGTCAGTTTTTCTATTGAAGGGTCCTCAGAACTAAGCTGGAATTAGACTTCATACATTTTCTGTAGACATGTAGACACAACATCAATTCAAAGGTAGACAATCCAGCTTTCTTTTTTAGTGGGTTAGTAGGATTTTGATGAGAGAGGGAATGCTGGGTCAAAATTCTTTGACACTGCAAAGAAGCTGAAGCTAGGTCATCTGCCAGTTGGGTCAGTGCACTGTGCTGCTGTGGAAAAGTTAAAAGGGGCATGAAATTTATCCTGTGAATAACCTGCTCCTGTGGTCATGCTCAGAGCATGACAAATGAATCAGGGGATTTAGGGAGAGAAACAGTTTCCGGATCTTGACTAAGCTAAGTCAACAGGATATTTGAACTAAAGTTTTGTCTGTATGCCTGAACACAAGATTGCATGTGTCTGGAAGATTTAAAGTCCATAGATGCTTATCTAGTATGACTAGACAGCAGGAGAACTGATTTATAGGCTCATTCATTTGGATTCAGATGTGTTGGCACTTCATAAGTAACCAAACCGAATCAGTTCCTGGATCCTCCTAGGATCCTTCTTTCCAGTTTTTGGTGGTTTAGATAATAGTGATGCAAACACAGTCTTGTAAAATCTTTGAAAGTAATTCAGAGAGAAAAAATAACCTTCACTACTCACCATCCAGTAACCCAAGATTCTGGTCCAAAAACATTAAAAAATGCCAAAACACAAACAAACAACAAACAACAAACAAACAAAGAAACAAACCCAAACAGTGAATGATACTGTAAAATCCAAAAAGTACACTACAGATTGTCCATTATCATTTTTAATGAATAAAGAAATGTTGATGAAAATAGGAATATGTCTTGTATAGTGATATAGATCTGTCAGATCTTTTAGGTAACACTATCAACCTATTGAGGATTATTATTGTTATTCAATCTATTTTAAAGGGTTTAATTTTATATAACTGCAATTCCACATTAACATCCAAATAGCTTATGAAAATATGCCAATAACTTATTCATTTAGATTTTTTTGCAGAAATAAGGCAAACTACCTGTACAAATCATTTTGAAAGAAAGAATGGGGTTACCAGAGCCAATGAACAGCAAGTCACAATGGTGGTCAAAACATGGGTGAGGTCATTCATGTCAGCTTTCTCTCACTTCCCCTGCCCTGTAATTCCCTGTCATGCAGTTCTGAGATCTGAAAATGTGCCACCAGATTCTTATAAAGGATGTGCATGTGCATCTGTATGTGGTGTGGTTGAGAGTAGGCGTGCTTGGTCAGAGCACTCTATCCTGTTGTTACCTCTGAAGTTTTACTGTGTCATCTGTCGTCACTATGGAATGCTAAAAGTAACAGGAACTGGAAGTTTGAGATGAGTTGTTTGCAGGTGAGCAATATAAAGAGTTTTCAATCAGCTTAAAATGACAAATTTAAGATTTTGTTTATATTAACAGGGAAAAGTAAGGCTGCCTAACTCTACAAAAAGTGAGGAGACAAGAGCAGTCATCTATGTCCAGATTTGCTATAGAGGAGTGTGAGGTCGAAGCAATTTTCCCGTTAGAAAAAAAAAAAAAAAGAGTTACAAAGACATAGTTGAGAAAGAAGATTCATTCTTTTCTTTGGAGATTCATCTCCAGAAGGTGGCCTCTGGACAGCAGCTATGTGTAATCAGAGTTTCACTTGATACAGTTTGTGACTTATCTCTTGTCTTTTCTATATGGGCCTCTGAAAAGAGCTGGCTTCTTCTTTGTAATCCTCCTTTACTAAGTGGAAGACTCAATTTTATGTCTCCTTTTGCTTCTGTACTCCAGGCTAAGCAAACCCCACTACTTCAGTCTCTCTTGTATATTGTGTGCTTTGGAACCCACACTGTCCATAAGTGTCCCTTCACCAGACTCTGTCCAGATTGTTGATATTTTTTCTGTCCCAGAACTGCACAAAATACTGCAGACATGCCACATGGAGGTTAATTACCTCTTCCCTTAGCCTACTGTCTCTTCCTAATGCAGACAGTATGTAGATAGACTTTACAACCTCCTATAAAATACACAGGATTTTAAAATGATGATTTGATAGGATGTTTTACCAGACTTGGCTAAAAAAAAGACAAAATGTAATAGCAGGCAGTTGAAAAAATCCTTGGTCTATTTGAGACAGTTTCATAAAATTGCTCAACTAAAAATTTTGAATTGGGACAGGAGAGAAACCTGCTTTCTCAGTTGAAGTAGAGGCAATTGATGTGATAGTTTTGTCCCAAAAGATGTTTTTTTTTTCATTATCCTTCCTGCAACCCTTTTCCAGCCGGATTTGAAGTTTCTTGGGTTAATTTCTTACTTGTGTGTGGTTTCTTTCAATATTTACCAGAAAAATCTATGTGTTGGGAATGCTGCAGTTATCACGTGGATATACAGATGTATAACATCATAGCCTTTTATAACTTCTAGCATATAATATTCTTGTCATCAATCTAAATGTTTAGAATATGATTGGTTTGCTGTGATATAAAAAAAAAAATAGACTGGAAAGTTTAATAAATACTTGCAAGTAAAAAATCTTAAAATACTATGCCTGAGGATTCTGCCTGATCTTCCATTGAAATTCCATTAAATTCATGATCAAGTAATGTACCATAAAAATTAAAAGTTACCCCACAACAAAATAATTATGGCTCATTGCATAGAAAAATGAGCAGGGAGTACAGTTTCTTGATTAGTTAATAATAGCAAAACATTAACTTTCCCAAGGTCTTTGTTGGCTCTGAAAACACTTCCTATTATATAGGATCCATTTATAAAAATGTACTTTCAATATGTACTCAGAAAGAAAGAATATACAAAATGTGGATTTCCTGCATCAACAAGACTACTAAAAGTTCAGTTGTACTGACACAGTGTGGTGTGTCTCCCTTGTATTAAGTTCAACAAGTGCAAGACAAACACTGAACTAAACCTGGCAACTGTTACTCAAATGTGAAATCCCTCTTCCTGGAGGAAGTTCAATGTCATACAACTCTGAAGGATATCTTCTGCCAAAAACTAAATATTCCCCAGACTAAATGATGTAGAGGAGGCCATCTAACCCTGAACTTTTTCAACTACAAAATAATTCCAGTAATAAGAAAATGAGCATAAAGTTTGCAAAGTCACAATATAATCTGTCTGAATTTGGAATTTTGGAGAATAAAGGCCTGTGAGGGAATTAATTTTTTAAATAAGAGACTACCAAAATAAATTTCTCTTTCTCTTTTTTTCCTTCAGGTGTCAGATGAACATGAAGGTATTTACATACTAAATAGCTTTCTTGATAAAAAGGTGTTTGGTTTCACTGGAATTACTAACAGAATGGGATCACACCATGCTGAACAGTTTTGGGTGGAGAAAAAGCCTAACTGATTCTCAAAATGGAAGAGGGTAGTGGAAGGAGGCCACCCCTTCACTACCCGTACTACCCTAAATGGCCTACACGGGACAGATTTGTGGAAGACAAGAATAGCTAAAGGACTTCTTGATTCTTATGGTCTTTCCAAAAAATGCTTGCATATGAGACTAACCAGTTAGTAAAAGGAGCATATCCTACTTCCCTATATCATTATGTTACTCAGTAACTCTTCCTTTCTCCATATGTTAATAGCTATGTTATTTGCGTGTTCTTCCAGGTCAGCTGATGATGCAATTGTTGTCTCTCCTCAATTTGAGGGAAAAAAAAGTTATGAGAATGAAATAACAACACAGTGCAACAGGGAACGAGAAAGTAGATGAGAACAAAGGAAGAAACAGTAGTGAGGAAGAAGGTTTTGATGCAATGCTTTATTTTTAGGGCTAATTTGTACACTTTTATAATCACACATTTTCAGTTTTCCATAGCTGTGAATATATCTTTTCTGCAATGTATTACCTTCTTAGACAAGTTTATCCCATGATAGGAGATTATTTGGCTTGAAGGTGACAGGGTGCAAGGAAGTGATAAGCTGTCACATATCTAGCATACGTTTCTCTCTGCTAAGTCTCAACCTGTCAAACTATGAGGGCTTTGAAAAGAGGGGGCATAATTTTAGAAAGACAAGAACAACCACCCCTTCCCTGCAATTTCTTTTACTGCAGCTGATGGGGAACTCTGCCAGATGAAGGCTTAAATATTCTGGATATTTAAACATTCCAAATAGTTTAATACTCTGCAGTCTAAGCTTTGGCTTCTACTTTGGTTGAAGAGGTTATAGCACAGTGATGTTCAGAGACAAGTCAGGGCCCAGGTTCACATTTCCTATGCCTCAGTAATCTGGGACACAGTTTTCAAGAAATGAACATAAAACTGAAATAGATAGTTTTAATCTGAGTATCCTGCAAGAGAAATGTATGCCTGTGACTGTGAAAAGAAAGATGTCTTGCTTATTTTTAAATTTATAAGTAACTGAAGGGAAAAGTTTTGTTGCAAGACTGTTTGTTTGGATAAAATTTAATTTTGGATTGTTATGCATAGTAATGCATGAGCAACAAGCAAATATATTAATTTTTACTTGCACCAATAGGGAAAAAGATCACAGCAGACCAGTAAATATAAAGCCCAGAGGTGAGAAAGAAGCATATCAACCATGAAATTGTATTAATTCAATAATTAAAGTGAGTCTCAGTTCTAACACAAGCTCAGTTTCTGTAGCAAAGATGTGACAAAACAATTGGGAATGGCAGCCCATTGCACTCGTATTAATCATCAAGAGAACAAGAGTTCCAGTAAATCGAACATTTTATGAACACTACAATGTATTTAGCCCTGAACCTGATATCATCTCATTAATCAAAGCAATACACAGGGAGTGAAATTTCCACCTGAGTTTAGTTTTGAGAAAGAGGCAGTGAGAAGTGGGAGTGTCTTGTCTTTGTTCCCAGACTCTACAGCAGAGCCAGGCTTTGTAGTGCTCTTCCCAGCAAGGGAATGACAACAGTGCTGTAGGGGGAAATTAATTATTATCAGAGACATTCCAGCTGGAAATCTGTGTAGCTGCAAATCGAACACCTTTCAAGGAGCAAAGTGTTTCCTGCTGATCGTGATAGTTTCCCTTGTGCTTTAAAGACTTCAAAACTTCTATTGAAAAGCAAGTTCTTATTAGAGCTGGTGATTAATTTAGTATTTGATTCTGCATTTCAAATTTTTTATTAGTTTTCCATGTGCAATCCCAGAGACACGCAAGAAAGAGAGATATTCCCAGACAAAATTAGTGGCCCAGTGATTGGGGTCTTCATTCAAAACCTAGAATTACCTAATGTCCCCACTTCCAATGTAAACCACCAGTTTGAACAGGTGGGTTTTGTCTGAGTTACTATCATTTATAAAAAACACCAATGGATGTTTTTGAGAGAGATTAGAGTAGGCCAAGAGATATGGTTACTGTTCTACAATGAAAAGTGTTGCAAACAGAAGCAAAGTAGGGAGTGAACATCCCAAGAGAGCTCCTGGGTCACTTGGCTACGGTGTAATTAGTGTTTCTTATCAACATAAATTCTCCCCTTCATGGGAGAATGCGTCCAAATGGAAGGCTTTTACTCGTCACAACTCATAGATATTCTGATTAAGGAAATGTCTCATTAGGAAGTTTCCAGGCAGTTCCTGTTTCTAGTGTTCTTGGGCAAACCCCTTCAAAATGTAATCAGCAACAAGATTAGATCTGTGACTGCCTTATTACAAGAATATTAAAGGCTGTGCACCCATACCACTTCTGTTCTGTCTCTCAACAACCATCTTCATCATCAGCCAAGAAATTTAACTACTGGATATCCAGATATAGCTTGAGGAGTGTTTTACATTCAATATTTGTATTCATTGTAAAACAAAATCAAAATAACTTTAAAAAAAATGAAACAAACATACCACCTTACAGTTTCACAGACTTTGAAATGCTTGTGGCTTGGCTTAAAACTTCCTTCACTGTCTTTATACAACACTAGGCTCAGGGTTTACACAGTATCATTCAATATCCAAGTGGATCTGACTGAATTTCAAAATACAGAAATAAAAACTATATTAGAGAAGGTGTAAGTGAGGCATGGATACACAGAAATTTGACCTGGACAATCAATGAATTTAATTCTAGGCCCAGAATAACAGTCCTTCATTTCCT